GCTTCCAACATACATCGCTGGATATCAGCAAAGCATGCTGGCAACAGCTTATCCACGCAACTTCTATCAAGTGCACGTCACTTCCGGTGACACGCCTACCCCAACTTTCGGATATCGACTGTATCTGTTTAAATCTCTCCGACATCAATGAAAAAAGACTAGACCGAAACGAAAATTTCGCAGTGCTTAGAAAACCTTTGCTATAAAGCATATCTGACTATTCAGCCTATCTATCTATTCAAAAACACAAATAACTTCAGAGAAGTCGCGCATGCGCGGAAAAGAACCACATGAGTGTGTCTCATTCGCATTAGTATCGCACTGTCACCAAGAATTTGAATATCACGAATTTTCAAAGTAACAGTAAAATACCTTGTGCTTGGGTTCCTCTGTGATGCATACCGTAACGTGAGGAAACGATAGTAGACAAAAGGCACGAACAGCGAAGCTTTTCCGCTGCAAGAAAATCATTGAACCAACATAATGTTACACAACAAGAAAAACCATGCACGGGTAAAGACTATGCCTACCCTAGTCGTGTACATATTACCGAGACACCAAAAATGGATTAAATTGAAGAGGGTGGAGGTGGCAATGTTTGGACTAGTTGCGTTGAACTTCTAGCGGAAGGAATCACTCCCTCCGATGTCAGCCAGGCCTTCCCCGTCAACCTTCCAAATGAGCCCTATCCATATGTTAACTCAAACAGCGATGCAAAATCAGTCCCATCTTCTCTCAAATACGACAACCTTGTCGTGCTAGTTTAAGGTACTAATGGCGACTTTGCACGAGGACTTATAAAAGTTCTTGGCTATGAGCGTAATGAAGCTAAAGTAGCCTCTCTGAGCAGATAGCATTCATTGGCACATAATCTCATTTTCGAGAAAACATAAAAATAGAATTGTCTGATTCACTTACACGAAAATCATGGAGATGAGAACTGGAATAAGGAAAATTTCTCCACAAGCTATGATTCCCAGGCAGTTCGTAGTGTGCTGTTGAGCGATCGAAGCTAAACGGAGGGCGACCATTGACCCTCCATGTCCAATCGCTGTCAGGAGTTTCACCTAAAATATAAACTTAACCATGAAAATTCGCATCCAGGCTCCGAATAAAAAAATTTATAGCTATAAACCACCGCTTTATAACAAAAGGGATTTTATGAACAATATCAGCAACATTTTCATTTGTGGGTGAATCAAATGACTATGCGAAGATAAAAGTACTCACCAGCTGAGCAGCTGCGTGCAGAGCAGCAAATAAAGAGATTGGGAGAAGAGCCATAGTCACAGGCGCAGATGTCAGAAAAAGAATTGAGTAGAATAAGTAATGACAACTGTCCTCAAGAAGAAGACGGGAGAAAAATTCACGAGAAAAAGAAACAGTTCCGACTCGTTGCTGCATTCGCAGCGCATTTGTTGCAGCAGCTGAAAATGGTGCATATTGAAACGAAAGTCGAGGTTATTCCTTGTTAGGTAATTCTAAAAAACAAAATCACCTGCGGCAAAAGCTTTATAGTAGGCAGAATCTGGCGCTACTGGAGACAAAAAAGGCAGCAAATAGCATATTGTGAAAAACAACGTCATCAACCTTGTTCCAAGTAGACAACAATCCATAATATTTTCCGAAACATATTGCTGAAATGACTTAGATTAGGCCTCTTATGCGCGTTCGAGTTTTGCTGAAAAATAAGCCTCAATTTAAGTGCTTGCTGCAGCTGCAGATGCGTTAGTTAGCCACTTTATTAGGCGAACTAGAAAAAAGACATGTTAAGGAAATCACTTGAAATGAAAAAACATGGTTTTCGCTTCTTCTTCAAACAAACTTTTGCTATTTCTCCATTTCCGGAGCTCAAGATGAGGCGTTATTACCCGATCACGCGAGCCCAAGCGCTTAGTCTTACAACTTCGGATTATTGTGAATACGTAGATGCACCAATTGTATCCAAGGCAACCACCCAAAATTGGATGCCAAATTTGGATCATAAGACTCACTATTCACTGAGTCCTGATGATCCAAATTCAGATCTCGAAAGATGATCTACTTCACACAGAGGTGTTTACTCAATATAATGCACTGCACTTCCTAAATTCTACCTCGTCACTAAATATGAGAAAATTGATGTGCTTTCGCCCAAGATCCTAGTTTCGCGGATCAATGGAAGAAAAATTTCACTTCTCAAACGCAAAAGTACTAAAGTGAAAGTATTTGTGTGAAACATAAAATAGCCTAGAATAACAGAAGTAACCTCGAATACCCTTCTGAGGAGGATGTTTAGGATTCTAACAAGGGAGGTCTTTCAGGGCAAGCCGCGCTTTTTGGAAACGGTTTCTGCATATTGTAGGGACGCATGTATGGACCACAAAACCATGTTTCGTTTTCGCTGAACGGTTTTAGTAGTACCAAAAAAGTGGTGAATGATACCCTTGATGGTTCGATCCCCCGCGGCGACTAAATTTTGCAATCAAGGTTGGCGGCCACTTGTTGGCTTCAAAATGGTCCTGACGATGAATTGACATCTGATTTTGACATTTAGCGCGATTTGGCACCAACCCGTAGGCGCCAACCCAAATGCAAAATTTAGTCGCCACGGGGGATCGAACCATTATAGGAATGACCGAATTATGAAGTAAAACACACAGACAACATTCATCCCTTGCGCTTCACGCAACCGAGTCGCATCACCCAGACAGGAGAATCTATGCATGTATGATTCACAGGGAATGCGTCGCTGCGCGCGTTTCGCACGAACAGTAAGTTCGACGCATTTCAAATATCTGCCTTATTGTGTCCAAATCTTATAAATATATGTTCTAGGCGAACCTTCCTAGTGGTAGCGGAACTAACAAAGGGTTTCTGAAGAACCCACAAACCCGTATAACTAACTACGTGTGTCGATCAAGAGACATTGTACAGCGTTCCGAAAAATTGACAAAAAGACAGATGAGCAAAAGTGAATTCCCCTTTCCTTCGATCCCCAATCGGCGCTAGGGGATTACCCTCCCAACTCCTCTAGCCAGGCTTGACTAAGACGTTTGGGTGTCTGACCTAGCACACTTAACTTTTGCCACATGGTGATGGCCTACATCACCGTAGAACCTCATCCTCTGCTTATCCCTTCCCTTCCGTTTCGGCAATGATTGTAACTATTCAGATTTCACACCTAAATATACATTAAAAGACGGCTAAATCTCAATATCATAACCTAGCCATGCGCTAATCGCTGCGGTGAAGAGAGGGGCCAACCGCGCCTCTCCCCCTCCCTCTTTAGCTACACAATCCACTGGAATGCGAAACCGGGATGCATCTACTTTTTGGTGCGAACTTGCAAATTTCGCGCAATTACTGAACGAATCTCAAACAGAGGGCCTCACCGAGATCGATATTGAGCCTGGTGTTGGCCTGCTTGCTTGGGCTCTCGATGAGCTGGCTGACGATGAAGGATTGAAAGGTTCAGATGACTCCTCCCTTATCTCCACCATTTCTCCTGAAAAACGAGTGTTACTATGTAGGAATTGCAGAATGCATGCGCGTAATATACGGTTCGAAGCGGACCACAACTTGCCAGAAGCCTTTGCCAGCTATCTTAAGCCTGTATGCAAAACGTTAATAAATCCTATATACTTATACTTATATAAATTAATCTGCCTGCGATAAGATCTAACGGCAGTGCCTAGTACTTTTCAATAGGTCATTCCTCTACTTTTCCTCTTCAGTACTTTATTGTTGAGGCTTAACGGCAGATAGAGGACGGAACGGAGCATTGTGGCAAGAGCACTTAAGACATCTAAAACCATCACAATCACTTCGAAAATGGTCCAGCAACCCCGGGATACTCACCTCCTCTCCCCTGCTCGCGAGAAATCGGATCAGGCATTGTTTCAAATCGCTGTCAAACGGATTATGCATTTGCCGAAAGGAATTTATTGATACGTATCGACTGTACGCGAATTTGGGCCCGAACGCGGATGGCCGGAAACACCGGGCCGGCATCAAGCGAAAAAAATTGCAAGATATTGACAAGCTGACTCACCCTGTCGGAATTGCGTAGATCGGGGTGGGAGCAGGGGTCAGTCCTGTATCGTTTGCTACGTTATTTCGAAAAGTTTCCTACGACCCCCCCCCCCTTTCCGACCAATTTTTACCCCAAAAAATTACCGTCGAGCGGGGGGGGGGGTATATACTTCCCTTAAAACCGCAAAAATTCCCTACATTTCCTTACAATTTCCCTATGTTTTACCCATATTTCAACTGCTCCATTTTCTAGGGGGGTATATACGCGCGCTGAAACGGCAAATTTTCTCCCGCGCCGCTCCCCTCTCACATTTCTTACAACCGAAGCAAGTACGACCCCCCCCCTCTACAAACTCATCAAAATACGACCCCCCGTTGCTACTTGTAGCAACATAGGGTTGACCCTGGGTGGGAGGGTGCAGTCAATATCTCGATGTCTGAGGGGCATGAAAACCGGAAATGAGGTGGCGGCCCTCGCACTTGATAGAAGTTTCGTGGATAAGCTGCTTCTGGCTACCTTGCTGATTCTCGGCCGAGTATGTTGGATGCGGCTTACTTGGCCGCGCGGCTTCTATCAAGTGCAACGGTTACCACAATAGTCCGTAGACCCACCCACTCAGACGGTCAGATATGAACTGTAACTGCTTTTGCGACTCCACCTTCATAGGATAAGTTGAGATTGCAAATTGTGAACAATAACTTACTGCAGGAACGAAGGAACGAACTCTTGTGCCACTATACTCTCCCTCACTCTCGCTCTCTCTCCCCCCCCTCCCTCCCCAAGTACTTTCACTATAGAGAAACCTATTGCGAAGCGACGAAAGAGCTTCATGGGTACGCCAAAAAGAAACCGCACTTCGGCTGTGCAACAGGACGATTGCAAACTATGAAACTGCAACCTTCGACACCCGCCATGTATGAATGCATGACAATTCTGCGATATTGCGACCGCAAGACCGCAAACACCGCCGACAGTATGCGTCGCAATTCGTATTACGCCACTCTTTTTTCCATCACATTTTCTAATACTTCGAACTCACCAGTAGAAAGTGGGAATGGAGGTTGGTGGAAAGGGGGCACTTCTTGTGTCATCCTTAGTGCTAGAGAGCACTCCTTTGGGCTCTCTAACACTAAGGACAAGATAATACCCAAACGGCTCATTTTGAATGTATTTTTGATAAGGATTTCATCACACATCCTGCCCAGTTTTTGCAACCGATCGTTCAGCCTAGAGCTTCCTCACCTCTTCCTTCGCTTCTTTCCCCTAGCATCAAGACCATTCCGTGGGGCCACTGTAGCTGTTTTCGCTGCGGGAGCGCTGGCCTGCCGCGCGATGTCGCATTGCGAAGCGCGAAAATGTCGCTTTCTGTCCTAAGTACCCACACCCTCGGCCGGGTGTGGGTACTTAGGACAGAACGCGACATTTTCGCTCTTCGCAACGCGACATCGCGCGGCAGGCTGGCGCTCCCACAGCGAAAACAACTACGGTATATAAGAACGCGCGATTGGAGCGCGATATTTGCTCGGCTTTGATTGCGACAAGGAGTTTGAAGCTTAATAGCCATGGATTTGATAATGAACGAGGAAATGGTAACCAGAAGAGGACCACTAACTAGCAGTGAAGAAAGAGGTAGGTTAATTTTGCAGAGGATGGATGGTAGACCCTGGAAGAGGAGTGGTTGATGGACGTTTGATGAGACTCACGACGAATTCACCGCATGTCTCAATACAATGAGTGTGAGCGTGGGCAAGCAATAAATCAGAAACTTACAAATTCACACATGCGAAAAAAGCTGCTCCAATCGCGCGCTCTTCATACCGTAGCTGTTTTCGCTGCGGGAGCGCTAGCCCGCCGCGCGATGTCGCATTGCGAAAGCGCACGCACAATGGGTGCTATCTTAGTTGGGGGGGGGGCACGCGGCGGCGCGGCGCTCTGTTCGTCTCCTCCTCAAAAGGCTTAGTCCCAGGGGCAGTTACGGTGCTATACAAGTAATGTCGCCGCATTTTTTGAACAGAAAAGTATGTCAGTAGGACTGTTGCCCGCTGCTGTACTGTCACCAGAATCGGGGAATTCGTGAGCCAGGGGGAGTGTAGCCAATCTAGGGGGTGGGGGGTGGGCAGCCACTTGACATGCGTGAAAAGCTGGACGTGCCCATCCCACTTGTATAGAGCCGCAGTTACTATTTCCGCCATCAACATGACAGTCACACTCGCTCGATCAACATGACTTTGTAAATAGCGCCTCGGAGGACTAAGCTTGGGGCCGTATGCTGAATGTTGGGTAGGGGACGGGGATGGGTGAACGTTGGGGAGGTTCGTCGCAGGACCCTTCTGGGCAGCTGTCGCACCTTTGATTTTGCAGCTTTGTTTTCACCCTTTTACTGTTTCTGATTGTATATTCGCACGTAAATATCTTTCTTCATACCAAAAGCAGCGATGAAAGAATACAAACAGAGCTGCAATATTGAAGGTGCGACAGCTGCCCAGAAGGGTCCTGCGACGAACCTCCCCAACGTTCACCCATCCCCGTCCCCTACCCAACATTCAGCATACGGCCCCAGAGGAGAACAGAAGCGGCAGCGCCCGCCGGTGGCTCCCCCCAACTAAGATAGCACCCGAAAATGTCGCTTTCTGTTCTAAGTACCCACACCCGTAGGCTGAAATGGAAAGCACCCCAGCATCCACATCACACCAGTACTTATCAGAACACATTTCAAAGGAGTTTATGGGTCTAATCCAGTTAGGAGGGGCATTGCGGCGCACAGTCTGCTCTAATGCCAGTTTGGCTCAAGGAGTCCTTTAACTAGTTACGAAGTGCTGTCAGCTTTAATCTCGCGTTGTTTCTTCTAGTTTTGTATAATGTATGTGTTCCTGTACTTTGTAACATAAACGTCAATGAAAAGTAATATTTACCTAGTGATCAGTATACTAATCGTAAGACTAGAAGAGGGGAAGAATTTTTCAAAAAAAAAAATTTTTTTTTTTTTTTTTTTTTTTTTTTTTTTTTTTTTTTTTTTTTTTTTTTTTTTTTTTTTTTTTTTTTTTTTTTTTTTTTTTTTTTTTTTTTTTTTTTTTTTTTTTTTTTTTTTTTTTTTTTTTTTTTTTTTTTTTTTTTTTTTTTTTTTTTTTTTTTTTTTTTTTTTTTTTTTTTTTTTTTTTTTTTTTTTTTTTTTTTTTTTTTTTTTTTTTTTTTTTTTTTTTTTTTTTTTTTTTTTTTTTTTTTTTTTTTTTTTTTTTTTTTTTTTTTTTTTTCCCCCCGCAGTTTCCCCTCCTTTCTGAGGCCTAGTCCTAAACCCTTGTACTAGGGGATATGATATCCGTGGTTTTTACGAACCTGCTGAGTGCTCTAAACCGCACCCCCCCCCCCCTTAACTGGAACAGACCCGAGTTTATTACGTGTCATAAGCGCTCTCATTCTTCTCTTCAGCATTGAGAGTACAACAGAGCGGCTCTTGGGACTACAGTTTCATTGCAAAAAAGCGCCATGAAAGATTCCAACACACACGCAAACAAGAATAGCAACATGAGAAACTCAACAAAATGAATGAGTTGATAAACAGAGAAGTATGAGAACATCGAAAAGCACACGTGGAATCATATTTCTCGAGTCATCGCTACGTCATTTAACGAAACTGAGTCTGCAACTACGACTGGTCTGACCGCGGGAAACAGAGTATTCTTCTTGGACCCAGCTCGCAAAAAGCACGCTGGAATGGGAACCTGAACCACACTCATCTCCTCCCACCTTTCACTGTCCAGGTTCTCTGTGGCGGTAATCTCCATAAATCTGAGGCTGTAAGAGTTTCGAAACACGTCTCACATTCAAATAACCATCGTGATTTTGGTAAGACTTTTAACCATGAGAGAACGCAGTTCTAGATTAGAACAACATATTGCGACAAATTCAGCCCTTGTGTGCACCATGGAAACCGTGACGATGAGGGGGCGAGGCGGCTGAACCTCCGACGACGGCTCGAATTCATCGATGGTGACATGCGCAGGTACGGTAGTCTTTGGAGCGCGTTTACTCCAACTGGTCGATGTGATATGTCACGAGTGCACTTTGCTTCTGCCAATACTGTTATCTTAACAGTCTCCTATATTTTATTACGCTACAGCTGCTCCTGTTCATTTTTGGACGCACAGTTTCACTGCGTGAGTTCCGCCGCAAACTTAGAGAAGCATAGGCTTTGCTGGAGTATTTCTTTGAAGACCCTACTCTGTGGCGTTAGTTGTACTTCGTTTTTGCGACCAGTGACAGCGGCGGGTTCTCGGGACAACTCCTTCTCCGTTTTCTTTCTCTCCTCATATCTTAGAAGGGGAGCAAAATGAGGCTAAGCCCGCCTTGGTAATCTCCAAAGTACTCAGTCGTAGTTTCTGATAAGAAAATATCCCCGTGTGAGACTTTCGTTAAGGCCGATGTCAGACTTTGCGAATCGCGCGATTCGCTAGCGTCTGCGGTCGCGTCGCGGCCAGTGAATCACTCAATTGGCTGGTACCGCAACGCGACCGCGGACGCTAGCGAATCGCGCGATTCGCAAAGTCTGACATCGGCCTAGCAATGAAAATCCCAGCGCTGGAAGAGTACTAGGCAGCACACTCCAGGTGATGCATTGGCTCTATACAAGTGGGTGGGCACGCCCAGCTTTTCACGCATGTCAAGTGACTGCCCTCACCCCCCCTAGATTGGCTACACTCCCCCTGGCTCACGAATTCCCCGATTCTCGTGACAGTATAGTAGCGGGCAGCAGTCCCACTTACATACATTTCTGTTCAAATGCGGCGTGCCCACCCTTACTTGTATGGCACCGATGCATTTTATAAGGCCGCGTTCATAGTTCGCGACTTGGGAGATCGGATAGTACGCGACAATGAAAAAGATATGTATTGACGGGGAGATTAGGATAGTAGTAGATTAGGATAGTAGTAGAGTAGGATAGTGCGCTGACAAGATTAGATATGTATTGATCTATTCGCTTGAAGTCGCCCAATCTACTACTCTCCAGCGATTTCAATCGATACGTATCCAATCTTGTCAGCGCAATCTCCTACTCTTACTATCCTAATATCCTATCGCCTACTAATCTATCTTCCGAGTCGCGAAGTATGAACGCAGCCTCATATACGCTATCGCGGAATTGGCGAAGTGCGCGAAATGTCTGAGGTACGAATCGACTGGAAGTCGTGGATTTCTGATTCTGTAATTCTCCAGTGCGGCATCAGCTACAGTTTGTTAGCATCATTCGCTCTTTTCTTCAGCTTAAAATAGATTACTGTAAGTTTTTGACTGCACCATCTCTCTCTTTCCTTCTTTCTTTCTTTCCCTCTCTCTCTGTAATCACATTTTAGGTCGGTTTCATAGTTTGCAAATCGAGCGATTCGCTAGCGAATCGCTGGATCCGAGCGTTGCGCCAGCGAATCGAACGTTGCACCAGCGAATCGAACTTTGCACCAGCGAGTCGAACTATGTACCAGCGAGTCCAACGATGTACCAGCGACTCAAACGATGTACCAGCGATTTTAGTGGCGGGACCCAACGTTCGAAGGAA